CATGTAAACTTCACTTGCCTGCATCTGCCTGGCCACGGCGAGGCAATACGACTTCAAGTGGAATATCCCGATGGTACTCGTGCGAGAGAGGAAAGCAATGGAAGGAGGAGGAAGGGAAGGAGAAGAAGTGATGGAGAGGCAAAAAGAGAGAAAGAGACCGAAAGCGAATAAAAAAGTCACGACACGTTATGACTTTATAGCGTTATATCCTGCTGCGGAATTGCAGGTCCTAATCCTTTGTCTTAGCTGACTGCTGCGGCCGCCTGCGAGTTTTTGTTGCCCAATTTATGGTTGTTAGGATTTTAACATACGGCAATATAGTCACGCGCGTCGGCCGAGGTGCGATCGGTGTGTTATACCACGTGATCCACGAAATATGACACGCAACGCGATGAATAATAGGCCGCGCGTTAATTATCTATGCATGGAAATTAACTTACCGTAATTACACTGGCAACGATTATATAATTTCTTGATTATGTAATTTATTTCTCTCGCTTAAATACTTCCTCTAATTACGATTAAAGAATTTCGGTATGCATTTCCCTAAATACGCTCGTGTTAACACCATATTGAAAAAATATCTTAAATTTTAATGCTTATTTGTTTGAATAATGCTGAAGTTTTACTAAATATAAAGAGATATATACTTATTTATTTAATATAAAACCATTAATTTGATTCAACTATCATTTCTTTTTATTGAGTAAATATTTATTGTAAGTAAATGTTTAATTGGTACTATTCCAATAAATATTTATTAAAATTTATAATTTTATTCTCAGAGTAAAAAAGTATCGAGCGGTCATCGTTATAATTTTTATAAGATTAATATTATATTTCTCGTGTGTGTAAAAGATAAGATTCTGAAATTTTTTAACTTTTCTATAATTATGTTCTTCGTTTTAATAAAATATTTAATTTCTCATCGCTTTATTTTTACAGTAATTTATTCGCTTAATTCTTCTATATACTCAATAAGAAACGTTAATGCTTTTAGCGTTAAATACTTTACACTTGTAAGAATATATGGAAGGGAAATGAAATCGCCTCACACTGCTGGAAATTTACTTCGCTCTCGTTGCTCGAGTTTTAATCTTCGATGGTCGTGCGTGCCGCGAGTGCGTGTTTGTTGCCAACAGACCGGAAGGACGCAGGTCAGGTGAGCGTCAGTCCCCCTTGGCGAACCGTCAGGGTGGTCTCGTTTGAAAGTTCAGAGACTCTCATCAATAGCAGTTTTTTTTTATTAATAGCAGAAAGTTCCGTGTGATTCTTATTTCAGATTGGCATTTTTAGATGTAAGTAATGTTAATCAATAATAGGACCCTCTGTGTAACACTATATGCCCGCGATGCGGCGGATCAGTCACTAAACATTCGCGTAACATTCGAGTAACGAAGACGTTTCGTTACACGGGGTGTATCTATATCGCAACTTGTTCCAATATTTATCATCCGCGCCGTATCTCCAAAACTTTAACTAGCTGCAAACTCGTGTTCGCAAACTACCGAATAGAGTTTATTTTCTCCGCTCTCGGAGGAGGATGGCGCGCGATTCCATTGTCGTTCTCCCGTTCCTTCTTTCTCTTTCTCTCCCTCTCTCCGCGCAAGCCATGTATTTTCATTGAAACTCCACCCACCGCGAAAGTACCATTGTTCGAATATTCAAAACGGAGACGTCCATTGTGGTACGTTAGAATGGGCACAATGTGGTTCCTGTGTTGCGGCGCGCGCGTGCTGCGACTTACAACTCGTCCGTGACTTTTTTAAAATCTGCAGAAAATAAAGTTGTGGGGGGAGGGGTGAAAGGGGAGGGATTCGCAAACAGGTGTGCGTACAATCTTCGATATGGCGGCCGTAATATCGATCGTCGTAACGATCGCGGGATATCTATCGATCTGCAGAATTGAATGAGGACGATTATCGAGTCAAGGATAATGAAACTTGGGGGGTTTTTTTTAACGACAATGAACGTGCTACGACGTTAAAGTGGTCTTTTATTCATAAATCTTCGTCGTTGTTGCAAATAACGCCGATACCGGAGGAAAGTAACGCTGAATAATGTTTCATAATGCGGTATTGAGGTAGACGGAGAAAGAAAATATGAAGCGTGCATGTACAACGTAATATAGTCTTCCTTTTAATATAATGAATTCATAATAATAGAGTAGACAATAATATTAATAATAAAATAATAATAGTAATAATAATATGTCGATGTTAATAATAATAATTCATGATAATAGCAATAATACATATATATGTATACGTATACATACGTATAGCATTGCTATTATTATTATTGTAAACATCGACATATTATTGTTACGACTATTATTTTACTACATAATATGAATATGAATTTATAATGATAGAGCCGACAATAATATTAAAATAATAATGAAAATATTAATAATGTGTCGATGTTGATAATAATAGTGATGCTAGCAATAATATATATATATACATGTATGTATACATACATATGTATACATATATTTTTCTGTTTATATTCACATTCAAGACTATGTACAATTTAATTATTTTACAGTCGAATCCGTACGAACAAGCGAATAAAACCTAATAGTCATAGCATATATCTGTATTATTACGTGTACTATTCACAACAAATAGATTCTCTCACGAAGGTGCGACAATGTACACAAAACGTGCGTTATATTTATATATTTATATAATTTTTTTATTTACCTCTTTCTCTCTAGCCTTCGCCCGCAAAGCGGTACACTCTCTATCCATGTTTTCCTTTCTCTCATGTTTTTCTTCTCCCTCTCTCTCTCTCTCTCTCTCTCTCTCTCTCTCTCTCT